AAAAAAGTTGGAATTCTCATTTGGAAGCACAGTGAAAATTTGACTTGAGCATTTTGCTATTTGAGTATTTGAAAATCTACTAACTAGGCTTATTAAACAAGAAGATGGTGCAGTTATGGTAGTTTAGTCAAGGAGTTCAAGAGTTGAGTGCACCCCTTCCAGAGTGGGTTGGAGCCCCAGTCCTGCCATGTCTCTTCTTTAGCCTGGCCCCACCCCAGTGCCTACCATGCACACTCCTGAGCCTGCTATACCCTCAGCATGCAGTTGGTGCTTACTCTGTACCAGTCTCTAGACCAAGGGCTTTTCACATTCCTTTAGGAACCTTCCCCCAGCAGCCAGTAAGGTGACTCTTCCCTGTGGGGTACAGGTCAGTGTGCTCTGGCTGTGAGGGTGGAGGATCCATGAGGCCATTTGGAAGCAGGCAGAGCAACTGTTCACAGGTGTGTTTACCCAGGCTGGAGGCTCAGACGGAAGAGTACCCCCGAGTCCCAGCTGCAGGTGTAGAGCCCTTGGGGCAGCTTTCTCTTTTGTTCCCTTGTCCACCAGGGAAATCTTTCCTTGTTCACCAGGACCCTTTGCCTGAGCAGATGCCACTGCTCTTCCGTCTCCTCTGAACCTCTAAGGACTTCTAAGAGCTTTCTGTTCTGCCGCAGTTGTTGGCTTCCCCACCCTCTCCCACAGGAGATAGGCATTTTGGTGCACATCCTGGACCCCTGCAGGATGCAGAAACTGCCTGCCTTCCCTCTTGGGGCCCCTGCAGGGCATGGGCAAGAGGACAGACTACAGGGGCTGATAGTTGGTAGCAGTCACATTTGCTGTGGGCTGGCTTGCTACACCAGCCACACCAGGTGCTAGACTGAGTTGCTGTCCATGAATCACGTCACATAATCTCCATAGCAGCTCTGTGGAAAAAGTCGTTATAGTCCCTATTTCAAAGATGCGACAAAGAGGAGTGATTTGGTTAGGGTCCTACAGTAGTGGGGCTCAGACTGACACCTGTGACCCTCTTCCCCCACTAAGCCCTTGTTTAGAAATATCTTTTTGTGCCAGGTACAGTAGCGCACACCTATAATCTTAGCACTCTGGGAGGCCAAGGCAGGTGGATTGCCTGAGCTCAGGAGTTTGAGACCAGCCTGAGCAAGATCAAGACCCGTCTTTACTAAAAATAGAAAAATTTGCCAGGTGTCTTGGCCGGGTGCCTATAGTACCTGTAGTGCTTGGGAAGCTAAGGCAAGAAGATTGCTTGAGCCCAGGAGTTTGAGGTAGCTTTGAGCTGCGAAGGCATTATGGTACTCTACCCAGGGTGACACAGTGAGACTAACTCAAAAAAAAGTCCTCTCAAGAAGATATGCCTGCTCTGGGGCCTCTGGTTCCTCCACGTCTGACCGTAATTCCAGGGGCAGGGTCTGGGGCGAGGCATGGATTCACTTCTTCATCCCAAGTGCAGGACCCAAGACCCACACCTGCTGAGGAGGAGTTAGAGCTAAACAGACAGTGGCTCCACATGACAGGCACAAGGGGTGGTGGCAGAATCTGTGAACTGCCAAGAGGTGCCTCGTGTACCTTATCTGTGCAAACGTCAAAAAAGTTAAGACTGGTTCCCCGAGTGTTCTAGATTGTGCAAGTGGGGTTGACAGTTAAAGAACCATCACCTGAGCTGTGGACTCTGCCAGGAAGGCAGAAAGCATTAATGGAACACTGTGCTAATGTGGTGTGGGGAGGCCCGCCTGGACCTTGAGGTGAGCTGTTGGTCATCAGGCAGACAAGGGGCAGGGCCTGCCCAGGAATGGGAAGCCTCAGAGCCAAGGGCAGTCCTCAGATGGGACCATGTTAAGATGTGACCTTCACAGGGAAATTGGTGGGTCTGCTTTGCATGATGCCAAACGTGTACTCAGGCATTTGCTGATGTTATTCATGTCCTTGCCTGCCTACCCTTGAAACTTGGCCATGACTTAAAGTGCCCAGGGATTTCTTAGAGGCACTGTCTAGTCCCTGTGCTGCTCTGGGGTCTCATGTGAGCATCACCAGCCAGCTGTCTCTGGAACTACACTGCTGCCCTCAGTGGACAGACCAAGGCTGTCTCCCAGAACTAACTGCCAAAGCTTTATTTCCCAGGATACTTGAGCCATGTGGGATTCTGTGTGGAGTGAGGGGAATGGCCTTCTCTGTAAACATTAAAATGAGTTACTTACGGATTTGAAAGCATCACTCTGGTCTTCAGATTCTTGTGAATTATTTTATGGGCAGGCACCCCATAAAATTTGTCTTAAACATTGTTTTTTAGCTTCTTGCCCCTGCTTTTGGAGCTCATGGTAGAAACTGCTGCAATGAAAAATAAACCCAAGTTTAAGATGCATTTTGTCTAGAAGTTAAGACCAGGGCCCTGGAGTTAAATCTCCTTGCCAACTATTGCCATTTAGAGGCTTGTTGTTGTTGTTTTTTTTGTTTTTTTTGAGACAGAGTCTCCTTTGTTGCCCTTGGTAGAGTGCTGTGGTGTTATAGCTCACAGCAACTTCAAACTCCCTAGTTCAAGAGATCCTCTTGCCTCAGCCTCTTGAGTAGCTGGAACTACAGGTGCCTACCATGAAACTGGCTAGTTTTTCTATTTTTAGTAGAGACAAGGGTCTTGATCTTGCTTAGGTTGACCTCGAACTCCCAAGCTCAGGCAATCTATCTGAGCCTCCCAGAGTTATGGGATTATAGGCATGAACCACCACGCCTGACCTGACATTTTCAATTCTTGTTTACTCTCTCTCTCTCTTCAAATTTTTTTAAAAAGATCTAGCTTCAAGCTCAGCATGGTGGCTCACACCTATAATACTAGCATTCAGGGAGACTGAGGCAGGTGGATTGCTTGAGCTCACAAGTTGGAGACCAGCCTGAGCAAACACAAGACCTTATCTCTACTAAAAATAGAAAAACTGAGGCAACAGGATCTCTTGAGCCCAAGAGTTGGAGGTTGCTGTGAGCTATGATGCCACAGCACTCAGCCCAGGTGACAGCTTGAGATTCTGTCTCAAAAAAATAATTAAAAAAAAGGTCTAGCTTCATATAACATCTCATTAAAATGTATTCAGTGCCAACATTTTCTAGGCCCTGTACTTTTTGACAAGGGCATGAAAAGGCAGGCTTTGTTGTTAGGACTTATAAAATCACCTTAGTTTAAAAGGTTTCTGGTACAACCCTTTGAGCCCCTGGAGGTGATCCCTGCTGGAGTTAGCAGTGCCCTCCAGCTGCTGTGCTTTCTGGCTCTGGCTACAACCCTGCCTTCCTGCCATTTCCCTATTGGTTCAGCTTGTTGAGAGATCTTCTTGCCTGTAATTATTTTTTAATTCAACATAAGACTTAGTTCCTAACACATAATAGGAATTCAAGTAACACTTACTTTCAGAAAATGAACTAGATTGGCATTGCATTAATGTATTAATCCAACAAATGTACTGAGTACCATTTATGTGCCAGGCGATGTGCTGGCTGCTAGGGAGAGGTATGAACCAACAGTTTTTGCCTCCTGTGGACTTTGTCTCTTTGGGGTACAGAGAACTAAATACAAATAACAGTCTGTAAGCAGTCAATCCACGACTGGAGGCGGCTGCATACAGGCCTCTGGGGGGCACACACTGGAGCACTTCAGTAAGACTTTGGGGACAGACAATGCTTTAGGGTCTGTGAAATTCTTCCTTAGAAGTAATGGATCTGAAGAAACAGTTTGTAAATGTGTTGCTATTTCATGATTAAGTGCTCTCCTGTAATTAGAAAGAACCATGCTGGGAGGCAAAGGTGGATGGATCACCTGAGCTCAGGAGGTCGAGACCAGCCTGAGCAAAGCAAGATCCCATCTCTACTAAAAAAATAGATAAACTAGCTGG